ATGTTGCACTTATCTTAGCATCAGGTTGTGCTGATTTATGAACATATGTGCATGTACTAACGCTTTTGCCTCACTGTAAAAAAAAAAAAAAAAAAGGGTAAAATGGAAGAGCTGCAGAAACAAATAGAATCTCTTCAAACAGCCTTGGCAGCCGAAAAGGAGAAGTCGCAGACAGCAAAACAGGATGCAGACGAGGCTAGAGAAGAAGTAAAAAAGAGGGAGGCTAGTGCCAAGCCTAATGCCGTCTACATCTCACCTGGTCGGAGGTTGGAAGTTTTTCATGGCAGACCAACAAAGCCTACAGATCCTAATGTGCAGGACTGGGTGGCTGACGTGAGGGCACAACTTGAACTGAGGCTATTGACACCAAAAGCAGCGGCAGCATTTGTGAAAGAAAACTTAGCCGGATATGCTCGAAAAGAAATTAACGGGCGAGGCAAGGAAGTTGGTGAAGATGCAGAGAAGATTCTCGCAGTTTTGCTGAGAGTGTTTGGAGATGGCAACACCCTACCACAGCTCCAGCAAAGGTTCTTTTCATACAAGCAGATGCCTCAGCAGGACCTATTAAGTTGTTCACTGGAACTGGTGAGTCTCTATGACAATATTGTTTCTCTTGATGGTGCCTATAGTGCATGCAGGGAAAGCTCTCTAAAAAGCAGAATGGCTGAAGCAGTCGTCGATGAAAACCTAAAGAGAGAGTTAAGGAGACTTAATATCGAGTCACCCAAACTGGCTTTCTTTGAGCTTAGAGACAGGGCAGTGAATTGGCTTGGAACTACAACAGATAGATGTACAAGGGAGGCCACTGTGAAGACCGTATCAGCAGAGACCAATGTTCTTGAACTCCTGAAGAAGCAAACTGCGCAGATAGAGGCTCAACAAACGCAAATAAACAAGTTACAAGATCAGCTAATCAACGGCAGAGGACAGATGCCAGTGAGACGGTATCAGCCATCAAATGCAAGACAAGATCGGCGTTGTTATGTTTGCGACCAACCAGGCCACTTCAAGCGTGATTGCCCACAAAGAGTAAGAAGGTCTAGCAATGCCAACAAGTTCAATCCTTTAAACGAAAGGAGCCCATCGTCATGAGTCAGACGGTGGGCGGCCCGTTCAACGACTCGTTCCTACAGAAAGCAGTTGGGAAGTGCCCGGAAATTTCAGTTAGGGTAGGTAATGTTAGCCTTAGATGTCTTATCGACACCGGAGCTCAAGTGTCAACCGTCACAGAAAGCTTTTACCGAGACCACCTAGCGCATAGAGAAACAGAAGACATTTCATCACACTTAAAGAAATCAGGGGCACAGGGCTTAGAAATCCCATATGTAGGATATTTGGAGGTAGCAATCTCAGTAATGGGACATCATTTCGACAACATGGGGTTCCTGGTTGTTATGGATCCTGTTGGTTCGCCCATAGCGGAAAGGAAGAGAGATGTTCCTGGTGTATTAGGGTCCAATGTTCTACGTGACATGAGAAAGATTATGCGGCTGCAAGGTGGGAGCGTGAATGGACATGCATGTGAGGAGGAACGTCACCTTATACATGCGTTCGCACTCTATGAAGAGTTGACGGCAGTTAAACAACCACCAGAAATCAATAATCTTGTTCGTATCGCAGGGAATAAACCAGTACTTATTCCGGCTAGAACACTGAAGACTGTGAGTTGTTCTACTTTAGCATCATCATCCGAACCATATGAAGCTCTTCTAGAAGAGAACAGTTTGCACGAGTTGCAGAATGGTCTGAGTATAGCACCCATACTAGTTGGAATAAATCGACGTGGACTTGTTCTGTTACAAATAGCCAATTTTGCTGATGTAGACATTTACATTCAACCTAGAACTCCAGTTGCTAGGGCCATTAATGCACAAACATAACCGGATGTAGTTTTTCAGTACCATAGCATGTGTTCAGAGATGCAGGGGCTATCACAGGCGGACGGTGATATAGATTCTGTAGGTAACTTGTTATCTAGGATGAATATTGGTAAAGGTCTTAGCACTAATCAACAGAAACTACTACAAAGATTGATTCAGAAACATGAAGATGTGTTTAGTAAGGATGATGACGATATTGGGTACTGTTGCGATGTAAAGCATAAAATTATTCTACATGATGAAAGACCAGTGAAAGTGCCTCATCGGAGAGTTCCTCCACACCAGTGGGACGAAGTACGTGAGTACATTCAGAAATCTTTAGATAAGGGTATAATCAGACCATCCTCAAGCCCATTTGCATCGCCAGTTGTGTTGGTCAAGAAGCGGGATGGTAAACTACGGCTTTGTGTCGATTATAGAGCCTTAAATCAGAAGACACATAAAGATGCCTACCCGCTGCCTCGTATAGATGAAGCACTAGATGCGCTCAAGGGAGCTAAGTTTTTTTGTAGCCTGGATCTTGCTCATGGGTTCCA